AGCAGGACAGAACCCTGAGCTGTAATGTAAAGTGGCACACAGGCAGTAGGTGAAACTCCCCAGCAGCTGAAAATTCTATCTTCCAGTCAATCACACAAACAGAGATGGTGCTTGAAGACACCTGATATGAAGACAGGCATAAAGATTGCTGGGCCTGCTGACAAATCTGATGCAGTTGAATAACATATTTCCACGCTGAATCTTTCACTCTAACACACGCAGGTCATGATGAGATTTAATGCTCGGCAGGCACACTAGAGGAGGCAAGCAGTATCTGTCTGAAGCACACACCAGCAGCAGCTGGAGAGTGTGTGTCTGGTTTGAAAACTCACAGGCAGCAGGCAAAATTGTGCAGTAGAACGCCTGATGTCTGTGGCAAATCTGGAAAGAACAGGGGCTCAGAGGAGCACAGCTCTGATTTCCTTTGGAGGTTATACTGTATGTAAGGGGTGTGTACGCAAACGTACTGTGTAGGGAGAGAAAAGAGAAACTGAACGGTGTGGTAGACAAGTGTAGACATGGTGAACGCTTTCACAAATTCTTGGGACTAAAATGAAAGTTGTGAGGTTTGAATCTTAAAAAAACCACAGCTGTCTAAGAGTTCTTAAGTCTTCCACATAACCCCAACCTGTCCAGCACGTTTCACTGAAAAAGCACCCAACAACAGTCTAATATGGCTGGAAGTGGGCAGCCAGTGATACTTTGTATTCCAAGATACTGTGTGCATCCGACTGCACCGTCAAATTAAGTCCCCACATTTCTTCACTAATCAAGAGAATATGATGCTTTTTGTGAAATTTGTTTGAAAGTCAAAAAGGTTAAAGAAACTCCCATCCATATCTTAACAGTACCTCCAATACTGCTGCCTTCAAACTTGGCATTATAACATCTGGTATCTCTTGATATAAGGATCAACAAAAAACACAGAATCAGTTCTGGCCACCATTGTTTCCTGCTGCCTGAAGCTTCAGCTTTTTTTTTTTCTTTTGTTTTACTTTAGTAACAAACAGAGGAACAACTTGTATTTCCTGTATCTTTTTCCTTTTGGGACAGAGCAGAGAAAAGGTTCTGCTGAGTCCTGAATCTCTGCAGAACTGGAATGGCTCATCTGTGGCCAGAAATTATTGGGCGTTCTACACAAGCAGGGTGCAACAATGAAATAAGAGCCCTGTGCAAACCTCCACTTCTAAGGACCAGATAATATAGACAGAGATGATTTAATATTCACTTCCCATTTACTTGGATCGTGCTAGGCTAGGGACGGGTGTTACATAAAACACTAATCATATGATATGATATTATACACTGTGACAACATAGGCCTGCAAAACTCACAAACAGGCCTGTGTTTCGGCTGAGCATTAGTAGGTGTGGGCTAGATTGTGATGACATGGCAGTAGAAGGGCTATTCAGGGTCACAGACACCAAGCTCTGGTTTTACTCAGCTTGGTCTTTTAACCAGACAGCTCTAAATGCAAGAAGGGGCAGAACCAAAACATAGAGGGGGGCTTTTCCAAGATGGATGCATGATGAGTGATGGACAGAGAGAAGAAAACCAGTGTTGACAAGAAAAAAAGATCAAGACTGACATCTGCAGACTCTTAAAGTTTGTTTAAGGTAGAACATGTGTCACTGAAATTGAAAAAAGGAAGCAAACAGAGACGATAAAAAGGCAGGAGTTTAGCAGGACTTGTGTTTTATAATCTAAATGAAATCTTACATGCACTATCAGAAGGTAAAAAGACAGGCCAAACATTGTATGCCGAGTTCATCTGAAATCTTAAATGTACGTTTTCAGTTGCATCTCAATGCCTATACTACACCACTCTTCCTCCGTTGCGCCATTGAAAAACAAGAAACCCTGCCAGTGCCACACCTTGCCCTCCTTCTCACACTCCCCTGCCTCAATATCCCTTTAGTGGGCAGAAAATCGATCTTGGTTCCAGCCCACCATGCTTCTCTGTGCTCTCTACTTCTCACCACAGTTCACAGGCTGCCTATTCCTCGGTGTCAGCAGTCCTGCATCCCTCTGCACCCAGGCCTTTTAATGTTCTACTAACTATTGATCAGCTACTGGCTCAGGTGACTGGAACAAGTGTCAGATACGTAGCAAGCTCAGGTTAGTGTAGTGTTAGGCTGCATCTCCCATATGGGATGCACTTTTGAAGGTCAGGTAGGCTGGGCTCTATGACCAGGGAATGACCCACCAATGTACAAAATGCTGACTGACAGAGGAGATGCTGAAAGGAATTAAATGGATGTATGAATCTCCACTACATCTTTAACATGCTCATAAGATAGCACTACATGCTTTGTGGGTCCACAAAGACCGTGTCCACCACTTATCAATGGCCCAGGTCCAACAGAAATGAATCCTACCATTGCTCTAGATCTAGCTCCATAAATAAAAACCCAACTAAAAAAACATTCATGCTTCACATTAAGCTCCTCCTCTTGCATTCTTTCAATCTGATGCATTACCCCTGCACCATCATTTAAGTTAATGCATTCATATCTTAAAAATATTGCTGGTGATGTGATGCGCTGAGAGACAATGGTGATGATAATTATGATGTGGACAAAAGTCTGCCTCTGCTGAGCACACTCCCACTGCTGCAATGTAAAGGACAGACTGGGGAGGGGGAAGGGTGTCAATAGAGAGTACAGCACATGGCTACAGTGACTCACTATGCTGCTTCACACTCATAAAGCCAGTGCATGCTTCTTAACACATACATGCTCCCACATCAACAGAATTAACCATGGCTGTCACATGGAACCTCTCCACTACTTTCCATTTGCTATGAGCTCACACACACTTATGTACATACAGTTCTTTCTGAGTTTGTAGTTATTATGTACCAGCCAAAGGAGGCTGGGGAAACAGACTGATAGTGATGCTCCAGAACCGTGCTTCCGACTGACCCCATGGGGCTGCAGCCTGCCAATGCCTTGGCAGGATGATGTCGTTACCCTACCCTGCCCCCACTATCTCCACATGACAATGCCTGACCGGCAATATGCATTCTCAGTAAGCAGCCCAAGAGATGCACAAAATATTCTCTTTTCACTTCCATCAGCTTATTGTAACCTTTGTTAACAATGGCATGCTGAATGTATTCCCACTTCAATCAAATGAATCCGAGTTGTGGGAGAGATGAGGGATTGTCAGTGTGTGTAGTTTGGCCTCATACTGTCACACCGCTACAAGGACTTTATAACTAAACCCTTAGTCCCAGCCTATGGAGTCTAGCTTTTTGCCATTTACAGGAAAATAAATAAATCTGAATAAAATATGGATAGAGTGGAACTAAACTGAAATACTGGCAGCCAGTGGACTTCAGGGTTTTGTGCAAGGCGTAAAGGTTGGTGTGATTAAAGCAAGGTTTGCACAACCTGTGGTGAACCTAGAAAAACATACATGTGTGAATCTGGTTAAGATCACCCATGTCTCGTTTCTCAATTTCAGAGATAAGAGAGTGGTAGCAAAACGAAAAGGCAGCAGAAAGGTTCTCACTCACACAAGTACAGTGAAAAATGATGGTTTATGCTACAGCTTGGTGTCTAACTAGCACTGTGATATGAAAGAATGATTTGGTCCAAGACTGGCTACCTGAGTCTATCCCAACATGGTCAGAGACAATCTAGTGGAATACAAATCAAACACATATGCTTAGAAACCAGCCTTGACACAAAAGGTAATCATGATTCATTGTAGAAAGTCCCAGTAAACAAGAGCAAGACACCAACATTTATCCAACGCACACATGTGGAGACAGACCCAAGGCTGCAAAAAACAAAAACAATCACCAAGTAAAAAACACTGACAAACATGTACAGCAAGAGGGTTATGTGTCTGTGATTTGTGCCTCTCTGCACAGATGGTTAACAGTCTTGCTCTAGCTTAACAAAGGGCTGTGTGATCATTTGTCAAACCTTGCAGTTACCAGATGCTCACAAACACCTTATTCTAACAAAAGCACACACACTGAAGAGAGACTGTTCATGTGACTGACACCCACAGCACAGAGCTTGTGAATGGTCCCCCAGGACTAAAATCTCATCACATCACACACTGATTTCTTCTTTATCCCATGGTACCAATCAGGGTCCACAGAGCCTTGAGCATTACCTCCATAAAAACCTATGAGCATTACCTACAGAACAGAGGCCCGGTGGGGATATCAGAGCATTACGAAGTCTTTATAAGTGAGCAGATCCAAATAATAAATTATTGTGCAATGGTCTAATGCCCCAATCTTTACTCTTTTCACAAGGACAGAGAACCATTTTCAGACAAAATGCCAAGAAAAGCTGTCATATGGGTCCAAGGTTTTAACAAAAGGAAATAATTGAGAATCCACACTAGAAGAGATTGATTGCCTTTCTTGGTTGTGGGCTTGGTTGGCCCCTGGAGAGTGACTGACAGCTCATTAGCCAGATGGTTGTGTTAAGGGAGGGCTGGACAGCAGCCTCACTGGCTGGGTCAGGCCATGACCAGCATGCTTTGCAGCAGTAATGTCTTTTCAGAGTCTGTTGGACAGTCAAATGAGAAGTACCGCCTCCAGCTCAAGAGAAGGCAAAGAAGAGAAATGGTAGAGAGAGATGGATGAGGGGATCAGTCAAACAGAAGCTGTCGGATGAGGAGGGGCTGAGAGCAGAGCTGGATGCCACTTGTACAGAGATGAGCATCAACAAAATGCAAACTCATGCTCACCCTCAGTCACACACACTTTCTAATTTAAGACTAAAAGTTACTAAGCCTAATAAGTGTACATGGTCACATGCACATACCATATTACACTATAACAACAATGTAAAGTTTAACACCGATACTTAACGGCCTCACGTAGCATCCCCACCCATCTCCTTTACCACCAGTTTCACCAATGGGCCCATGTCAGGGTCATA